ACAAGTGACATTGACCATTCTTCTATCATCATCAACAAGACCATCATAAAAGTATAAGATGAAGTCTTGTTCTGTGTATCCATGATAGGGGCAGATAGCACATAGCTTCTTAAATCGTTCCCAAAATTCATACAAATACTAATCATCCTTTTGTTTCAATGTTGATTATTTGCTTCTTGAGAGATGATGAGATGGATGTGGGGTATTACCTTTCAAGGAAGTATTTCTTCATAGCTGCCCATGTATTGATACTTCCCGAAGGAAGATAGAACAATCAATATTCTTTTGCAGTGTCCTTCAAAGAGAATGGAAAATCCCTGACTTTGATTTGTTCCTCTATGACACCGTTTGGGCACATGCTTGTGCAAACGATGTGGAACTCCGAAAGGTGTTTATTCGGGTCTTCTCCTCTTAGGCCGTGGAAGGATGGCAGTAGATGTATGAGCCCAGATTTTAGGTCAAAGGTAACACCTTCATTGAAAGTAGGGAAGGTGATACAAAAGGGTTGTTGGTTTAGGTTTGGAGTTGTGAGCTCCTTCAAGGTTCTTGTCTCGAGAGCCATGTGGAATGACTCTTCAGATTCGCTAGAACTAGAGCTAGCGTTTGAGGATTCCCCCGAGGGTGTGTGCGGAAATAAATTTCTCAACCTCTCAAAGGCTTGTTCTATTTCGGGGTTTGTTTGGTATGTGAGTTGGTTAACAGAGCGGGGTTTTACCATATACTCAACAAAGCTCATAAATAGAAAAAATAAGAATTCTTTATATTTTTATTAATTATATTTTTTTCCTTGAAATAAAAAGAAAAATTATTGCCTTTCCCCGGCAACAGCGCCAAATTTGACGAGCACTTTGTTGTGATGTTCACTCAAAATAAATATCAATACAATGATTATACGAGTATAACGAAGTAATGTTCGTATCCACGGGGAAAAGAACACTTTTCTTTTTAATTAAATAGTAACAAGGGGGTTTTAAATTGTTTAATGAACTTAAGAATAATTAAAAACCAAGTTGAACAACTTATGTGGTTTAATTAATAGAGATGAAGACTTGATTTTGCTTTTCTCCACTTAATGAAATGTTCATCGATTATGATTATATCTTTAACTATCTTCCTCTCGAATACTCAATGGAGGAGTATCTTCAATTCATCGATGGTAGTTATTAATAACGAGACGCGTTCATTAATAGAACTTACTACCAAGTCAATATAGAACACACACCGTATATTAACCTGATAGTAGCAATAAACTTAAGATGAAAACGATTGAGATTGATAACATCAACACAAGCGGTTTATTGGTTTAATCAATATAATTAATTCCCCTTAGATTATTAACCATGAGGCGCATGCATTATATAATCCAAGTTTACTACTATGAAAAGACCGAACGATTAACAAGTGTATTCGTCATTCAATTCTAGTAATAATTAATATATGAAACAAAACTAGTTGATCCTTTAAGTAATGCTCAAAATATTAATATGATATATGAATAGAAATTAATTAACATTCAAGGAAGAAGATTAAAGAAAATAAATGCTACTATAACTAATGTCGAGATGTTAACTAATTGTCATCTTAACAACACTCCCAAACATTAATATAGAGATAGATTAAGGGAAGAATTAATATTCAAACAAGGAAGAAGATGAAAATAACTCACAACTTACAATCCATTAAGCTTCAAAGTAGCAAAACCAAAATGGAAGAGTTTCGCTCCTCATTTGAAGACTAAACATGATAAAAATATAAAGAAAGTACTTACCTAAACTGAGTTTAGAAGTGTATAGGAATTGGTGGTCTTTAATGTGGAGGAAAGGGATCTATTTATAAGCAAAAGGGGCAACAAGGTCGTGTCCCCGACCGGGTCCATCTAGGGATCGGGTACCTTCAGGAATTGCTTTCAAAATATAAATTGTAGGCATACCCGATCGGGTGTGTCGGTGTACCTGATCGGGTATGACAATATATCGTGGTCAAATCTTCCCTTACACATCCCATTGTTTCTTGGATTGATCTGATTGAAAATCAGGTTGGTACCCGTTCGGGTATAGTGTATACCCGACCAGGTACAGGTCAAAATCAGGATCTTTTCTTTTTGTCTTGTATTCTTGCACTTTCCTTCCTCTTTTGGGGTTCACCAATGATCACTTGACTGATCCTGACACTGTTTTTGCTCATAATAGACTTAATCTAAACAAATTACAAATATTTCACAAACATAACTCTTACATCAATAGTGTGTAATTTCCAAAGTAACAAGAACCAAAACTAACTAAAAACACAAACATACATAAGGAAGTTACAAGGGTATCACATAACAATATCACACTATAGATTGAATGAATAGCGGAAATATTCAGTAATCAATTATGGGCCACATTCGGCCAAAACATGGGCTCGCAGGACCAAAATAGTTTGTAGTAAATCAAATATCTATGAGCAAGTGTTTCTAGTTTTAAAGATAACAAGGAAGCACGAATTGAACCACGTCTTCCTGAATATGACGTCACCCGTCTGAAAGGTGCATGTAGCAAGCTCTACCTTCAACCTGAAATGGCGCGGGGGGGGGGGGGGGGGGGGGGTGAAGAGGTCAGTACGCGAATACCGAGCGAGCAGTAGACTGAATGTAGACATAACTAACGTTTCAAGTATAAGACCCAAACATAGGGTGATAGATACACGTATATTACTTTCCCCCAGGTTATGAAATACATATCAGTATATATACACATGGAAATACCCAACCCGTCGATCATTGTTTAATTGGGAAAATAGTAGTAGTCAATGTCCTTAACTTAAAATCCCAACCCATCCATATACTTATGAGTGTATAGGACTACTCCTGGTCCTAATCAATTATCATAAGGACACCGCCCAGTCCTGAATCATTAAATTGTAATCTATGATGAGTTTTGAGGATACACGCCTGATCCTTAGGTACTCCACCCGCCATAACCGATATTTGATGGACCGGCTACACAGTAGCTTAACCGGCGCCGGTTCGGCCCTCTGACCGGCGCTAGTCAGCCTCCTGCCCCGGGTCAACGGCCTGTTGACCCCCGAATCATGCTCCGTTGGGTCTGAAACTTATACACAATATGTATTAAGTCTAAAACAATAAATAAATGCCATTTTGGCCATTTAAAACATTACATATGTTTTCATATGCATTTTTATCCAATTACATGCATAATATACCATTTTAGTTCACATAAGCCTAATCACCTTGGCTAATCATATGCTTAAAATCTTTTATACATCAATATGAATACTTATAACATTCCTTTAGGTAATCTCATATTTAACCCAAGAGTTACAAGACATTAAGTCGTCCACTGTACTCACCTCGAATGAACTTTAAGAAGTTCTATCCTTCTCGATTAAACTTCGACGAAACTCCGGCGAGCTTCGTTGAACTCCGGCAAAGAGGAGGAGAATGATTCGTATGTCTAAGAGAGGGAAGAAAGGGTAAAAAAAAAAAAATTTACCCTAGTGTATAGCCCAATGTATAGTGTATATACAAGTAGCACTTTTGAATTAGTAAAGTGTGTGTACAAATGAGAAATTTTAATCCTCATCTTTCAAATTACAAACCTATAGGCTACGAGGTAGTTTGGTATTCAATGTTTTTAATCTCCACACATTGGTTATTGCAGCGTTTTAGTTGTAAAAAAAATTGACGTTTTCGCTCAAAAGCTAATAGCCAAACAACAACTAAAATAAATGAGATGACATTTTTGTTATAATTCACAATAGTTATAAAATATGCTTCGTTTCAGTTTTGAATAATTACAAAAAGTCGTGAGTATCCTAACCAACGATTGAATAAATCAAAAGTTGAGATTAAAATTTATTAAATTTATTAATATTAGACGATTGAGTACTTGATAATACTCCATTCATCTCATTAGGTATGTCTTACTTTTTTTTGGTTGTTCCTAAAAAAGTGTCACATTTCCCTCTCTAGAATGCATGAAATTTGTGACCTATGACATTTCACTTCATTATACCCAATTCTCAACTATAAAATTTACTTTTCAACTGGTCATTTTATTAATAATTGTGTCAAACCAAAGTAAGACACAAAAAACGGGACATAGATAACATTTATTACGTACGGAGTATGATTTAAGACAAATATGATGGAGATTTATACCTAGCAGGATGTTTTAAGGGTTTGAAATTTGTAAATCTGGTCTGGTTTGGTCTGTTTAAGTCTAGTCTCATTTGGTCTCATCTGGTCTGGTCTAGTAAATGTGTGGTCTCTGTGTATTTTATAACTATGAAAGTCTGATTTGATCTAGTCTGATATGATCTGTTTAAGCTTGGTCTAATCTGATCTGTTTTGTTTAAGTCTGGTCTGATCAAAAAATGAAAACAGTCCAAACGAAGACATCCCAGCCAATATTAATGGTTTGCGTACGTACATACAAAACCTCCATTATTGAGGCTTAAATAATTAATCTGCCCAGAAACACAGCATATATTCATGGAGAGCGACGCAAAAGTCCATTATATGGTCCTCCATCTTCTTTAAGTGCGTTATATTTAATTTCCTATTAGGAAAAAGATTATACTCCGTATTTGGTGGATCAAATTTGATTTTATTCAGTCCACGAATCATCACCTTCACTCATATGACTTTATGGTTTCAAAATTCATTACAGTAAAATCACTAGCAACCGTGGACTAATTAACCAGCCATTCTATGAATCTAGCACTTGTGCAAATAAAATACAATCTGAATTGGACGAAAATGCCACTGTAAATTAATCTGACCATGAGGGTACTGTATTTGTGGTGACCATATAACTAATTATATAAATATGGCATAATAATGTTGATTGGGATTAGTCACTATTTAATGATATTTATTTATGTCCATTGATTTGTAAAATTACTATTGTCATATCATATCGTATATGAAAAAACCTTACCATATACAAATATATATATATATATAATTATATATAGACAGAAAGGTGCCCACAAGTTCTTGGTGTTTTGATCATAGACCTTAATTTATATAGTCAAACTGAGCTGATTTTGGAAGTCTTATTTAGGGTTTTCGAAATGGAAAGGTTTGTGTTTCTCGCAGTCTATTCTGTTATGTTCATCGTTCCATTCGCCAACAATGGAGGAATGGGAAGAGCCATAGCTACGGGAACACCCGATGGGTCAGAAAACTGGGGTTATGTTCAAGTCAGACCAAGTAAGTACCACGTACTCCGAATATTATTACACACATGTAATATATTCCAATTCTAAATACCCGTACGGAATATATTCCAATTATGACTAGTACGAAGTATATATTATATACTCCGTACTATATGCATAGCTAGATGTATGACCCATGTTTGTTCCAGGGAAATCGTCTATATTAATTTCATCAAAGTCGGTATATATGATATTTTTATATTTTAGTGAATCATAATTTCTTGAGCAGGTACCGAAGAGTACTGTTCCTACTCCCTAAGACCGTGTAGTGCCGTATAAACATGAGAGAATTCCCTAAATAGGAGTAAAAAACATGATAATAAATTTTCCCTGATAGGACTGAAGTTTCTATTGTGTGAATTATTACACATTACTCATATCATGATTCTAATTTCATGGAATACAGAAGCACGCATGTTTTGGTGGTACTACAAAAGCCCATACAGGATTGAAAATTCTACCAAGCCATGGCCTATCATTCTCTGGTTGCAAGGTGGACCGGTAATTCAGTTGCATACATATCTTACCTTCAACAAGCTACACTTACATCTAATAAAGAACATCATTTTTTCATCTTAATATCTACGTAGTATTAATTTAATTGGAAAAATACATTATTCACTTTCTTTTAAGCAGTTAAAGCAAATGCTTTTATAAATTATAGTAATCATGCATGCATATTGTGGTGAAAATAGGGAGCTTCGGGTGTTGCAGTTGGAAATTTTCAAGAAGTTGGCCCTATTGATGACAGTTTAAACCCAAGAAATTCAACTTGGCTCAGACAAGCTGATCTCTTATTTGTGGTAATTAATTAAAGGACTGATATGTCACTAATTATTTATTAATTTTATTATTATTATTATTATTAAAGGACAATAATCCTCAATTAATTAATTATAGGATAATCCAGTTGGAACTGGATACAGTTATGTGGAAGACAAAAGTTTGTTAGTAAAGACAGATGTGGAGGCGGCAGCTGATTTAACTGCCTTGTTGATAGAGGTTTTCAATAATAGGATTGTCAAATTGCAAAAAAGCCCTCTCTTCATAGTGGCAGAGTCCTATGGAGGAAAGTTTGCCGTTACTCTTGGATTATCCGCCCTTGAAGCTATAGAGAAAGGGAAATTGAAGCTCAAACTTGGAGGTAATTATTATTAGGAATGCTTTTGGAATTTCAAAATAGAACAATTATTTTTTGTTTCCAAAACAAGAGTCATTATTGTGAGGGTTGAAAAATATTGTTTTAATGGCAGTAAGGATGTTTGTAATTAGATGAAGTTTTTTTGTGTAGTCTAATCTGAACTGGTTTAGTCCGATCTGATCTGGTTTGGGATTGAAAATAGTCCAAATAAAAACATCCTAAATACTCACATGTCAATGCCTAGTTCTGCAACTTTTTATTTATTATTTTAAAATTCTAGAACTTGTTTCGTCCTATTTGGGAAACTTCCAATTCCCTTATTGAATTATTGGGTTAAATTAAATGAATATATTAGATTTTGATTTAAATAAAAAGATCAATTGGTCCATGGGGATATAAATCTAATGATTCTAGATACACACTAACACACCATTTTAACTGTGAATATGAATGGACTGGTTTTGCAACTGTGGATGAGTCTATTGATTTCCTTAATATTTGAGCTCGCGGATAGTTTTCTCAATAATCAAAATTTTTCAAAAGACCAAAAGTGTGGTGCAACCAAATATGGAGTATTTATATAAACTTAAGATGCAAAATTTAAGATAAACAATTCATTCAAACTAATGAGAGATGATAATTGCTACGGAGTAATTGTTATTGTTGTCCGTATGCGTAGGAATTGCATTAGGTGATAGCTGGATGTCCCCCGAGGATTACGTGGTATGGTGCTTTGACCACTTTGTCTTTAGTCTTTACCCAAATCTTAAAATTGCATTCAAGATTTTCGAATTATTGCTAATTCATTAATTAATTACGAAAATAATGCTGGGTTAAAAGTATTTATCAATCTGCTCCTGGGTTTAACCCTGGTCGGAAATAGTCGCCAAACGGTTAATGTTATATTATGCTATACATATTATAGTTAATGTTATATTATGCACACCATTATACCTGATCCTCAGACATGCATCCGATCAAATGCATCCCTTTAGACACCAAGCCCAGAAGCCGAGAATGTGCAACATAGATCAGCAAATAGCCATCTAATCTCTAATATGAATATTATTAATATATTTATATTCAACACACAATAACATAAATACAAACGATTGAAAACATCCTGACGGTCCAGAGGTTCCTCGCCCCGTACATGATGTGGTCCCAGCAAACGTGGAGGCTCATCAGGCAGTGGGTGTCCATCAAGGCCATGGTATGCCACTATAATGGGACGCTCATTGCGGATGTACCCCCATGACCAAATCTGGAGTAGAAACAAAAATCCTCCAAGTTCCGTGCTCCCACTCTGGCAACCGCGACACAACTGTCTATAGAGATAAGCTAGCGTGACACTACCCCAACTAAATTGTGCAGCTACATCAAACCTCTCTAGCATAGGCAAGTGCAGCACCTGAACCTCATTTCCGCTCTTGTCAGCGAAAATGGAAGCTCCCATCATCATCAGAATGTAAGCCTGTGAATGTTGCTGGATCATCACCTCACCAGCGTCCGGCTGAAGATTAGCGAAATGCTCCCTCAGCCATGGCATCCTCAGAGATGACCCCTGGATGTCAGTCCGAAGAAGGGGACGAACACCCAACAAGCGCTCACACCTCAACCCACTGTCGACAATCAGTACCAGTAACTGCTCTCCCATCGACCTCTAACCCAGTAAGTACAACTACATCTCTCAAGGTCACTGTCACCTCACCAACAGGGAGGTGAAATGTGTGTGTCTCCTGCCTCCAACGCTCAAGAAGAGCAGTGACCAGCGCTCTATCAAGAGGACAATAACCACCCATCTATGAAGACCATAAGAACCCGCAACCCTAACATATGCAAGTACTCTGTCGTCCACCTGCACGTGCGACAAACCACGTAGGTGCTCGCGGCACCTATCCACCTGAACATCGAGGCCACGCCACACATCCTCACTCTTGTGTGTGGCCTGCAATGTCAGGACAGATCGATCACTCGGCCCTGGATCCGCTGTCACCTCCATGCCTACAAAAAAATGGATAATAGTTCTTTTTTACTATTTTATTAATTTATTTTTTAATTAAAACTTTAGTAATTAATTTTTTTCCATTCCACGTTAGTATCAATTGTGGATTACTATAATTAAAACCTTACACAGTGGACCCCCCTCCATCTCTTGATGATCTCTTCACAAATGTGACTTTATTATGGCCGCTTTGTTTACAATTTCCACATCTAACCGTTCCTCGGGGACCTTCATCCATCCCATTCTTAATACGTGTGGACTTAAGTCTTCCCTTAGCCCGAAGTATGGACGGATCGTGCACCATTTCAGGTCCATTGTAAGTCGGCCAATAATCACGGTCAGGAATGGGTTTAAAGACTCTTTGATATGTAGCGGCGTATTGGGCAGATGAAAAAAAAGGATCCATAAATGTATGATAGGACAAACTACGTTGTCTACACACGACTAATACATGGGAGCATGGAATCTTATTGATAGAGTATATGGGCCTGGATCCCATGACCCACATACTTAACGGCCCAAAAGGCACCAGCAGGACACCCACGCGACACCCGCACCGGACAGAGGCCCGCAACGTCCAAAGGAGAAGACATCACCCAGGTCCCTTAGGTCATAGCCCAGGGACCGCATCGTCCATGGACTGCATCGTCCATGGACCGCTTTGTCCGGACTTCGTCCAGGCAGAATGTTTTTCATAGTTTATTTGCTAAGTATTGTACTCAGCCCATTAGTGGCCCTATTCGCCCAAAGAAGGCATGATTATTGTAATGGGCCTCCTAAGCCCAAGGCTAGGAGCCCAAATCCACATTTTTACCTATAAATAGACCCCAAGGGGCTAATTATAGGGGGTTGAGAAATATAATTACTCACTTTCTCTCTCTAGCTCTCACTTCTCTCTAGAATTAAATACTCTATCACTTATATATTTCCACCTTTTTACAACTGCAAGTACACCTCCACAGATGTACAGTTTGCTTTCTCCCACCCTTTTCCAACGTTCGGCCAACACATCCGTTTCCACTTGGTAGATCCCTCGTCCTATATCAAATGGAGTAACATAGTGATGCTTGGACTTTTCTTTATTCTTCTCAAACAAATCTGTTATGTGTGGGGAGTATTCGTGGCCTTCTGTCACTCTTCTTTTACTGCTTTCACGCCTATTAACAAAATAAGCATTCACGCGGTAAAAGGAAACTTGAACCAAAGCGGTGATGGGCAAATATCTGGCATTCTTCATCACGTTGTTGAGAACCTCGGCCATATTCGAAGTTATGGTACCATATCTGTAATTGCCATTGTGGTGTAATGACCACATTTCTAAGGGAATGTTCCCCAGAAATTGTCGTGCCTCCACCCGCATTTCTCCTATTTTCTTGAACCCGCCATCAAACTTCTTTTTTTGATGTTGCCTTGCGGTCCATACAAACAAATTTTCTAGGTGAGTGTCTTTGAAATGAGTGTGCACTTTTGATGCAGATGACGGATACATAGCCTATGGTGCGCATAAGGCTCCTCCCAAGAACTGTCCACCTCATTCATTGCCTTTATTATACCTGCATGTCGATCTGAAATGACACACAACTCCCTTTGACTCACGAACTCCCTAATACATGTCGTGAACCATGGCCAACTGTCCCCATTCTCAGATTCAACTACTGCAAAGGCCACAGGAAATAATTGGTTATTCGCATCACTACCCATAGCCACGAGCAATGTACCCTTGTACTTCCCATACAAGTGTGTGCCATCAATAGTCAGTACGGGTCAACAATGCTTAAAACCATGTATTGAAGGCTTGAATGCCCAAAATACTCTCTGAAACAGCATATAACCTGTGGGAGTAATAGGAGGTGGGTACTAGTGAACAACTGTCCCAGGATTGGAATCTTGGAGCATTGTCATGAAATAGGGCAATTCAGAATAAGACTTCTCCCAACCGCCAAATATTTCTACAATGGCCTTTTGTTTGCCCATCCATGTTCGCCTGTATGATACAGTATACCTATACTTTTCCTTCAGCATCTCAATAATAGTATGCACTTTAAGGGAAGGATCAGTGCGAAGAATGTCAATCACATCTTTAATCGCCATGTGATCACTACTGTCAGTGTTTCCAACACAGGTAGCAGAATGAGGTCCAGGATAACGCACAATTGTGAACATGTCAAGTTTGCCTTTGTTCTTTGTGGCGCGTATTCTCCAGGTGCAATCACGTTCCTTTTTCCTCTTGCACTCTGCAACCCATTTGTGTTTATCGGACTCCAAGACCCGAATAAATTGGTTCCGTTTAATAGAATACAAGCTCACCATATTGATGAGTTTTTCTTTGTTGTCAAACTGTTGACCAACCTCAAACTCACTTTCGGGTGTAAACCTTTTCATACCCGCTCCACTCATCCACGTATCAGTAAAGCCTTCAGGGAAATCATATATTCTAGTAAAGTGTTTAGAAAGGGCAGTTGCCGTGACAATATCACCATCATCTTCATCAGATTTTGTCATGTCATCACCATTGATGTTATCGTCAGCATCATCATCACTTCCCTGCCCATCCACAAATGATGCACCATTGTGCAAATATCTACCCTCTTCCTCTATAACCATGTCCAGTACAACAGCATTTGAGGAGTTCTCTGCATTGACATTTGCATTGACACCATGTCTGGGTACAACAGCATTTGATGTTGATGGAGTACCAGAATAGTCACATATGGATTCCTCAATGTATATCTCCAACGTGGACATACCCTCTATATGAATTATCAACCACATATTTGATACAGCTAGCTCATCAACAAGTGGCATAAGCATGTAATTTCCCCCGTTCATGGGAAATTTAATTTTCAATCGCAAAGAACGGCTCAGAGGAATCATTTTAGCTGCATGGATTTTTTGCAGCATCTCGAGCAAACATGCGCCACGAGAATCAATGAAAAAGCTGTTTCTACCACCTTCATGACGTATTTGGCCACCTTCCTCAAATATGTTCCCTCCCCAATGACACACGATTGGGAAGTTGGAGAAATCTGTATTCTAATAACAATACATGTCCAACTTTCATGAGTACACAGTAATATACACACTTTATACACATTCAAATTTTCAAAAAAAATTAGCTACATTCAAATATACTCAAATGTCAAAATTCACAATCAATTCACATTTCAATATCAAAATACCCAAATTTTGATATCTACATTCAAGTCTACATTTCAATACCCAAATTTAGCTACATTCAAATCTACCCAAATGTCAAAATACACATTAAAATTTACAATCAATTTAATATCAAATTTCAACATTTCACACATATTCACATTACACAACAAATCAATTCACAAATGAATTCCTAATTTACAAAATCGAATTTTCAAGATTCAAAACCCTAACATGAAAAATGAGATAAAATGGAAAGATTTATTACCTAGAGTGTTGAAGAAGATGGAGATGAAGGATTCTTGGGAAGATGGAGGAGACCTCGCCGGAGCTCGAGATTCGCCGAAGATGGTTCGCTGGTTGTTGTTGCTAGAGCTTGTTCGTCGTTGCAGCTATTTTCAATTTGGGGAGAAAGTGTTCTGTCTTGTAGAACCAACCCTGTTTTTAATGTAAGGGGTAAGTCGCCAAATGGTTAGGTGACTTATAAGTCGGCATCCAGTTTGGTGATTTATAAGTCACCCAACCGTTTGGTGACTTACCCCGACCAGGGTTAAGCCCAGCAGTATATCGGTAAATACTTTTAACCCAGCCATATTTTCATAAAAATTTAATTAATTAGCATTAATACTCCATAATTATATTATTGACTTTTCTATAACATTATTATTAAAAGTCAAAACGGATGAGATGAAAAAAACATACTTCAATTCGTACTTCGTATGGGATTAATATAAAAGTATTGCCATTGTCATTTCACATTTAAAACTATAGTCGTATTTATTTATCTCATTATATAGTGATAAATATATGATTGAAATAAAAATTGAATGTAAATATAAGTTTTTAAGGACAATAATAATAAGAATAGTATTTCTGCCCGAATATAAGAATGGGTTATTATCATATTCTTTTATCGTCCCCATCACCATTATATATCAGAATTATTGTTTTTATTATTAGCAATCAGCAATTCATGAAGTTTTTTTCTTAAATACGGAGTATTTCAGTATTCTTGGGGGCCTCTTCTTTTTGATGTTTCGAGACTAGATGAGAATGGCCTTAAGAGATCAAACAGGTTTGGTTCTTATTTTTTTTATCATTACTATTTTATATAAACCAGTTTATATAATTAAGAAAAATCAGTGTATATATAGTAACCTAATGTAATCAATTAATTAACAACTTTAGCTAATAAGGATGTTTTTACTTGGACTGTAATTTGTCCCAGACCAGACCAAACCAGACTTGGATAGTTATAAAAATACAAAGAAACCAGACCAGACCAGACCAACAAAAACATCCTAAGTTATAAGTTTAGAAGTAATAACAAACATGATATGGAAATAGAGTATGAATAAAATGTGACATTTTTATACTGCAATGGTTATTATATCACGGATTCATCGTATCGATACTCAAAGTGGTTATATAATCTTGTTCATATAAAAATTGTTCTCAATTAGGAATCTGTTCTAAAATGGCCAGAATGACATGTGTGAATTGTCCATCCTTGTAATCAGGACACCTAGCTAGTTCTCATCCTTACTCATCAAACACAAGTCCTTGTAATCACACACATCGCTAGATTCAATACTGCCAGTAAATCATGTAGAATCATTCCTGGATGATTCATCCCATGCCTGGCTAGTATAAATAGGGCTTGCTCAAACTCTTGTAAATTCATTCAGAAACTCAGAAACTTTCAGATATTAAGAAGAAATAATTCGGAAGTTTTTATCAATATATCTATCTCTTAAAGTTGTTCTCCATCTTCTTCATTTCACAACACGTTATCAGCACGAATCTGCTCAAAAGCTCTTCAAGAATTCATCATCTCCTGCAGTTATATATGGCCAACCTTAGCAAAACAGAATTCGACGTCCTTGATCTGTCCGGTCAAAAATATTTGGAATGGAAAGTCGATGCCCTGGCACATCTTAAGGCAAATGGTTTAGAAGAAACCATTGAGGCCAATAATATATCATCATCCCATGATAAAGCGAAAGCTATCATTTTTCTCTCTCACCACCTCCATGAAAGTCTCAAATCTGAATATCTTTTGTTTGATGATCTAAAAGAATTATGGGACAATTTACAAGAGAGGTATGGCCACCAACAAAAGGTACTTTTGCCAAAAGCTCAGTATGACTCGATCAATTTAAGATTCTAGGATTTTAAATCAATCAGTGACTATAATTCTTCCATGTTCCAAATAACATCTAAACTAAAGTTATGCGGATAAAAAGTCACTGATGCTGATATGTTGGAGAAAACCTTTTCCACAATGCATATTTCTAATATGCTGCTACGGCAGCAATATAGAGAAAAGGGTTTTAAAAAATACTCCGAGTTAATATCAGTGTTATTGGTAGCTGAGCAAAATAATGACCTTTTGATGAAAAATCATAATCTGAGACCCACTGGTTCTAGTCCTTCAGTTTATGGTCCATCTGGCCATAATTTAGCCACTGAATCAAATGCAACATACAGTGGCAATAGAAGGCATTTTAAACGTGGGCATTTTAAACGTCATAAAAACAAGTCACACCGAGAATACAAATAGGTCGAAAGACCAAATTACAAGGGCAAGGGCAAACAAAAAGCCTATCAAATAAATCGCCCTCCAAAATCCTCGGGAAAGTCGACTTGTTATAAATGTGGCATGACGGGGCACTGGGCTAATAAATGTCGCACGGCTAAACATCTTGTGGAGTTATTTCAAGCTTCCATGAATCTGAACAAAGGCAAAAATGTGGAAGCTAATTATGTCAATGACACAACTCCACCTATGCCAAAATTTGAAGTGTCCGACTTCTTCGTGGATGATGCTATTATGGATGATGTTTTTGCCATTAATCAAAATGCTACAAAATAAAATATTAGACTCCTGATATTGTAAAATACTAGTTTTATGTACTTTTTCTCTTTTCCCCTATTTATCTTGTTTTTAAATAAATGTGTGTAATATATGTACTCTTATGTTAAATCATATGACATATGCATAATTTGTGGTCAAGCTTATGTTTATTTACATATATTGAAGATATGGATCACTCAAGTGATAAAGAATTATGTCTGATAGACAACGCTACAACGCACACCATTTTGAGAAATAAAATATATTTTTCTCAAATGACTTTAGTTGAAGCTAAAGTCAATACAATATCAGGTGTTGTGAAGCTCATTGAAGGCTCTGGGAAAGCATATGTGATGCTCCCTAAAGGGACAAAAATAATTATAAATGATGCTCTATACTCCAGCAAATCGCGGAGAAATCTATTAAGTTTGAAAGATATGCGTCAAAATGGTTATCACATTGAAACCATGAATGAAAACCAAAAGGAATATCTTTGTCTTACGACAACTAAATCTGACACTAAATATATTTGTGCAAAAATGGCAGCTTATTTGGTTTCTAACACAAAGTTAGATGATCAGAAAACATTCATGTTGTGGCATGACCGTTTAGGTCACCCAGGCCAAGTAATGACGCATAAAATCATTAAGACTTCACTTGGACACCCATTAAAGAATATTAGGGTTTCATTATCAAGAGATTTTTCTTGTAAGGCTTGTTCTCTTGGCAAAATGATCATCAAGTCTTCTATGAACAAAATTACAACTGAATCACCTGCATTTTTAAAAAGGACTCAAGGGGGTATTTGTGGGCCGATTGCCTCTCCATGTGGACTATTTCGATATTTTATGGTGTTGATTGATGCTTCAACACGTTGGTCACATGTTAGTCTTTTATCGACTGGAAATTTAGCATTTGCTAAACTCCTTGCTCAAATCATACGATTACGAGCTCATTTTCCGAATCATTCTGTAAAAAGAATCCGACTTGATAATGCAGGAGAATTTACATCCCAATCATTTAATGACTATTGTATGTCGATTGGAATTGATGTGGAGCACCCTGTTGCTGATGTCCATACACAAAATGGTCTTGCTGAATCTTTGATTAAACGATTACAATTAATCGGTAGACTATTATTAATGAAGTGTAATTTACCTTCATCAGCTTGGGGACATGCTATTTTACATGCAGCAAATTTAATTCGGCTTAGACCGACTGCATATCATGAATATTCCCCAATGCAATTAGTTACTGGACAAGATCCAAACTTAGCACATATAAATATATTTGGTTGTGTTGTTTATGTTCCGATTGCTTCACCTCATCGTACAAAAATGGGTCCTCAAAGAAGGTTCGGAATTTACGTTGGATTTGAATCTCCCTCAATAATCAAATATCTTGAACTGATGACTGGTGACTTATTCACCGCACGGTTCGCTGACTGTCATTTCAATGAGAGTATTCCCAACTTTAGGGGGAGAAACTAATAAATCAGACCCAAGTACGAAAGAAATAACATGGAATGCAACAGGATTATCACACCTTGATTCTAGATCAAATATATGTGAGCAAGAGGTGCAAAAGATGATCCATTTACAAAGTGTTGCAAATCAGTTGCCTGATGCATTCACAGATACAAAGAAAGTGACAAAGTCACATATTCTTGCTATGAATGCTCCTGCCAGAATCAAAATCCTAGCAGAGAATTCTGAAAAATCTCTTGCAAATGATTCTTGTGTACGCAAAAAGCGTGGCAGGCCACTTAGATCGAAAGACATAAAACCAAGAAGAACTAAAAGGCAGGAATTGATCTGTGATGCCAAAGATGTTCATCCTTCTGACCAAGAGAATGAACAATTTGAAAATACCGACATAGAAAATGATATTGACAAAACAAACATCTCAAATGATGATCCAACTTCCTTGAATGAGGAAGATGTTCCAGATAATGATAGAAACGTTGATAATTATGAAATTTCAATAAACTATGTTTCTATTGGAATGCAATGGAATCGAAAAGATATTGATATTAATGAGATATTTGTCCATGCCGTTGCCACGAATGTTATGAATGAAAACAATGACAATGAGCCAACATCAATTGAAGAATGTCGGAAACGGCATGATTGGCCAAAATGGAATGAAGCTATTCAGGCTGAATTAAAATCACTTGAAAAACGTGATGTTTTTGGACCGATAGTCCCTACGCCAAAAGGCGTAAAACCTGTGGGTTTAAATGGGTATTTGTGCGTAAACGCAATGAGAGAAATGAAATTGTTAGATATAAAGCCCGACTTGTTGCCCAAGGTTTTTCTCAAATGCCGGGAATTGATTATGAAGAAACCTATTCTCCCGTAGTTGATGCAACTACATTAAGGTTTCTCATTGGCATGTCTGTTTTTGAGAGGCTGCAAGTGCGCCTAATGGATGTAGTGACTGCATATTTATACGGTTCACTCGATACAGACATTTGTATGAAAGTTCCTGGGGGATTTAAAATGCCTGAAGCTTATAGCTCGAAACCTCGAGACATGTTTTCTATTAAACTACAAAAGTGATTGTATGGACTAAAACAATCTGGACGAATGTGGTATAATCGTCTCTGTGAATACCTTCTCAAAGAAGGATATAAGAATGATCCGATTAGTCCATGTGTTTTCATTCGGCGATCAAATTCGGGATTCACCATAATTGCAGTATATGTTGATGACCTAAACATTATTGGAACTCCCGATGAAATTGAAAATACTGCAAAATATCTTATGAAAGAATTTGAAATGAAAGATCTCAGGAGAACCAAATTTTGTCTCGGACTTCAAATTGAGCATTTAAAGATTGGAATTTGCATCCATCAATCCAATTACACCGAGAAAGTTTTGAAGAGATTCTATATGGACAAAGCTCATCTGTTGACCTCACCAATGGTCATTCGATCTCTCAACATACACGATGATCCATTCCATCCGCGAGAAGACGACGAAGATATACTCTGTCCCGAAGTATCATATCTAAGTGCTATCGGAGCTTTAATGTATTTAGCTAATAATACTAGACCAGATATTGCATTTTCTGTAAATTTATTAGATAGGTACAGTTCATGTCCAACAAGACGTCATTGGAACGGGATCAAGCACATATTTCGTTATCTCCGTGGTACAGTAGATCTTGGTCTATTTTACTACAAAGATGCAAAAGCCGCTTTAATCGGACATGCAGACGTTTGATACTTATCATATCCTCAAAAGGTGAAATAACAAACCGGGTACGTATTTACTTCTGGTAACACCGCAATCTCGTGGAGATCTATGAAGCAGACTTTGATAGCTGCATCATCAAATCATTCGGAGTTAATTGCACTATATGAAACCGGGAGAGAATGTGTGTGGCTGCGACCTATGATTCAACACATTCAAAATGAATACGGTATGAAGCCTATTACTGTTTACCCTACTGTGATCTACGAAGACAACACTGCGTGCATAGCTCAAATTAAAGAAGGCTACATCAAAGGAGATAGAACGAAGCATATATCTCCAAAAAAATTCTCTACTCACGACCTTGAGAAAGAAGGGAAGATCAACGTTCAGCAAATCAGATCCAGTGAAAATTCAGCCGATCTCTTCACCAAATCTTTAGCCCCTACAATAGTTTATTTCACTACAATAGTTTATTTCACTGCGTCGCCTTAATAATTTATGTTAATTTCAGGGGGAGTATTTGAATGCACTGCACTCTATTTTCCTTCATCGGGTTTTTATCCCATTGGGTTTTTCCTGATAAGGTTTTTAACGAGGCAGTACATCCAGATACAACGACATTATAAGTCGTAATTTTTACTCCTTTAATTTACAATAATTTTCACAATAAATTTCAACATAACAAATACATATTCAAGGATGAACATTCAAGGGGGAGTGTTGTAAATGGCGAGAATGACATGTGTGAATTGCCCATCCTTGTAATCAGGACACCTAGCTAGTTCTCATCCTTACTCATCAAACACAAGTCCTTGTAATCACACACATGGCTAGATTCAGTACTGCCATCAAATCATGTAGAATCATTTCTAAATGATTCATCCCATGCCTGGCTAGTATAAATAGGACTTGCTCAAACTCTTGTAAATTCATTCAGAAACTCACAAACTTTCAGATATTAAGAAGAAGTAATTCAGAGGTTTTTATCAATATATCTATCTCTTAAAGTTGTTCTTCATCTTCTTCATTTCACAACAGAATCTTCATTTTGAATACTCCAAAAACAGAATTGTTTTTTACTATTGTCTTAGAAGCACGTGAGTCGGTCATTTCTATCCATAAAAATTCAATTCTTGAGATAAATTTCTCCCTTAAATAAGTAAACCGCACACACAATTAATCTCGATTTAGCTTAGGATAATGGGGTTAGGTCATAAATATTAGTAAAAAAAAATCGTTATGAACAAAAAAGTGAACTTTCTCTTTAATTTCCAAAAGTGTGACTAATAAGCATTACACTTACTAAATTACCCCTAACTCTAGTGACTTTACCTAACAGTGACCTAGTCCGCCAAAGTGACCTCTACAATAGTGACCTCCGTCGGCCACCGCCGCTGACCACCGCGACAGTGACCAATCTTAAAGTGACTTCCGTCCAGTGACCAATTAATATAATGGCAATTGTTACAATTATTCGATCCGTCCCGTTACAGTTACCCGATCCGTTCATTTACAGACTTACAGTTACATCACCCATGCAGTTATAATTACATGACCCGTTTAGTTACAGTTACATGATCCGTTCAGTTACGGTTACAATTAGAGTTATCCGGTTCGACCATTTAAGATTAATCGGGTCTAATAATAATTAATTGGTTAATTACAGCTGACCACCACCTTCTGCCACGCCGGCGACCACCGCCATCATTGGCGGCCGCCGCCATCAACATCAACCACCACCGCCAACACCACACCCCACACCCCACCCCTTGATACCTTAACCCCCATCCCATGCGACACCAAACCCCGTGCCCCTCCGGCACCACCCACCCTCCGTGCCCTCCCTTCTACTGCCTTGCCCCCAAAATCACCCCCAGCCCCTCGGACGCCGCAACCCTACTCGAGACCACCGGGCTCCGTCCCCAACACGACAGATCTGGAAATGAGGACGTTGGAAACACGTTCACACCCCACACCCCCAAAAGAAGAAGTTGAGGTCGATGACGACACAGGTGCAGGGCATTGAAGAAAAGATCTGAACGACATCGAAGAAAGGTTCTGGTTGTGCTCTGTTACCGGCATGAGGCCAGGACGACGGCGAAGGCAAGGGCAGACGGTTCAGCGTCGATTTGTGCGGCCTCGACGAGTCCGTCACAGATGCAGGGAGAAGCAGAAGGTGTCTGCTCGATGAGGTTGTCGTGGATGAGAGCTTTGACGCATCGAACAAATGAGGAGGGATACTTCAGTTAGGATTCCAGGGCATTTAAGTCAATTCAAATCATTTTCAATCACTTTTTTGTCCATACGGAATTTAGGCTTATATCTGTCTTTGCATAACGTGATGGTCTCATTTTTGCCATTCTTTCTAGGATAATTCGCAGCACATGTGATTAATTGAGTAAAATGCAATACATTAACTATTGATATGGTTGTATTTTGGTACTTTAACTCTTCAATGAAAATAATATGTATCATAATTTTATGTAAATATGTCAATCAAAAATACTACTCCGTATTATTTAATTTTCGGTCGAAAAATCCTAGATCGATACCAAAATTTCATGTGTAGAATTATTTACAGTGACGACATGAATAAAATTAATTAATGTAAAGTAAACTTTACGCATGAAATTTCGACGTCACATAGAATTTTATGGTTGGAAATTTGAATAATGTTGTTACCTTATATAAATGAAACATTTATGTATTTCACTCCGATTAACTGCTTGAAAAATGATCTTAAATGCCAAAAGAATAGAAAACGCTAACAAAATCATTCGTAGTACACACAATTAATTAAAAAAAATAACGCTCAATTATCATATGATTATTCCCGAAATTCGTAAAATTCTAAATTATGATCACTTTGTGTAACTAAATTATTTTTGTTATATTTCTTTCTCCATATAAAGGGAGGAGCATTTTGGGACATATATAGCGAGTAAGATTATCTATATTGTCATACAAATTGTGAATTATCTAACCAATTATTAATGCATATAACAGTTTAGCTGAAGAAATCAAGAACAAAATTGATGGTGCCGACTTTAAGAACGCAACGAAGTTATGGGGCGAACTTGAGGGTGTGATAGACAACAACAGTAATGGCGTGGTCCGTAACACGAAACTTCCTATTGCAATATTTCTTGATCGATCAAATTTATCTTATTACAATTTTTTGCATACTTATTTTTTGTTTTAGATAAATATATGGAGTTTTATCAATAAGAAAATTTAGGACATAGCGCGCCTAAGGGTGTGTTTGGGAGTTTAGTTTTGAAGAGGAGGGGAAGGTTGGTGGGTGTTTATGTTCTCCTATTCATGTTTGGGAGAATGGGAGTTTATAAAATTGGAGGTGACGGTTTTGGAAGGCTTTCATGACCCTCCAAAATCCTTTAAATGTTCAATTTTTTAGTTCCCCAATTTGTAAAATACGAAGCAAATATGAGGGAATTTTCTATTATTGATCATATCGTTCAATCGAGAATGAAGCATCTGATTTATATAGGCAGTGCACCTCATCCCTTTCCTAGTACGTAGTACTGCTATACGTTTACAAAGGAGAAAAGAATGGAAAACATTAATGACTAAATCTTTCCTATTCTAAGTCTACCACTACGTGCGTATATACATAATAAAGTGTTACAAAAATTATGTACATAAATTAACAATAACTAATAATAATATAGCTAACACACACACACACACCTCAAGATTGAGCATGGGGGTCACAAATGCCCATCTTGCCAAGTAGATAAGAGAATTGTTGAGCTCCGAGGGCTTTGGTGAGCAAGTCCGCTGGTTGGTCTGTAGTGGATGTATAAGAAGGTGCAATAGTGCCGGTTTGAATATGATCTCGTATAAAGTGACAATCAAGCTCTATATGTTTGGTTCGTTCATGATAAACCGGATTTGAAGCAATATGTAGTGCGGCTTGATTGTCACAGAAGAGCCGAACCGGACCAGACTGAGTGACACCGAGGGAGTGAAGTAAATTCCGTAGCCAAATTAGTTTGCAGGTTAAAGATGCCATGGATCGGTACTCTGCCTCCGCCGAAGAACGAGAAACTGTAGCCTGCTTCTTGGTCCTCCATGACACAGGTGAAAACCCCAAAGAGACAAAGTAACTGGTAACAGACCGACGAGTGACAGGACAACTCGCCCAGTCTGCATATCAATAACCAGTAAGGGAGATAGATGAGTCGGATCGCAACAGAATCCCCTGGCCTAGCCGTCCTTTGAGATATCTAAGGACACGAAGTACAGCCTCCCAGTGATCCATCCTGGGATTCTGCATAAATTGTGACAAAATATGCACAGAATAGCAGATGTCAGGCCTGGTCAAAGTCAAATAGATGAGTTTCCCGACGAGTCTCCGATACCGCTCGGGGTCAGAAAAATACGGACTAGTATCCGATTGCAACCGGTGATTCTGAACCATAGGAAAGTTAACTGGTTTGCATCCGGACATCCCCGTCTCGGCCAAAATGTCAAACACGTATTTGCGTTGACAAAGGAAAAATCCTGTGGGATTCCGTGCGACCTCAATTCCAAGAAAATATTTCATGACCCCCAAATCCTTAACAGGAAAAGTGGAAGCAAGATACAATTTAAATTCATCTATCATGGTGCGATCATTCCCAGTAATTAGCAAGTCATCCACATATATGAGGACACAAATGATACGGTTATCCTTGCGTTTGGTGAACAAGGAATAATCTGCATGGGATTGTGTAAAGCCATAATCTCGCAAGGAAGAAGTGAGCTTAGAAAACCAACATCTCGGCGCCTGGCGAAGACCATAGAGTGATCTAAGCAAGCGACATACCTTGTCGGGAGAAGAGGTAGAGTACCCCGGCGGTGGGTGCATGTAAACTTCTTCATGAAGATCACCATGTAAGAAGGCATTATCAACATCCATTTGATGCAATTCCCAATGACATGAAGCCGCTACTGCCAAAACGGTACGAACCGTAACCATTTTAGCTACCGGAGCAAACGTCTCACTATAATCAACTCCCTCCACCTGGCGGTTCCCGCAGACCACCAGTCGTGCCTTGTATCGTTCCACCGACCCATCACTTTTGTACTTAATCTTGTACACCCATTTGCAGTAGATAGCTTTCTTCCCAGGTGGCAAGTCCTGGATCTCCCACGTACCAGTACGCTCAAGCGCCTGAATTTCTCGACTCATAGCTTCCCTCCATTGAGGATCACGAACTGCTTCTCCAAAGTTATTGGGCTCCGTAGTCATGGAAATTGCTGCAAGAAAAGCTCGGTGCGGAACCGAAAAATGATCATATTTTATATAATGAGATAGTGAATAAGGAGTACCTGAAGCTGCCGTGGTAACGGGGACACTGACGGGGTGAGAGTTTATTTTAACCGTGTTCAATTGTACATCATAGTCTTTGTGCCACGTTGGTGCCTTACGTGGACGCGCTCCTCGTCGAACCTGGGCATCATCATGTGTATCTGCAGCAGTGTCCATGGTGGCAGTATCCGAATGCATCATGGAGTCGGTCATGGATGCATGTTGTCCAGCCTCTGCCTCAATGTTACCACTTTTACAATCATCATCATCTGCATGTCTACGAACATGCATTTCCCATGCATGCATGTCACTTTCAGGAGCCTTATATGTGTCCATGAGGAGTTCCCCACTTTTAAAGGGAAATTCGTGTTCAAAAAATTTAACATCCCGTGAAACAAAGTGACGTTGTTTTTCCAAGTCATAAACTTTCCAGCCATTTTGTGAATAAGCGTACCCCAAAAATACACATTTTACACCCCGAGGTGCAAATTTATCACCTCCATTGTTTGGTTCATGTGCGTAGCAGAGACAACCAAAGACCCGTAATTGACTATATACCGGTAATTTGTTATATAGCAATTCATAAGGACTTTTATTATCTATCACATGTGACGGTAACCGGTTGATTAAATATCCCGCAGTCAACACACATTCGCCCCAAAAATCAATAGGTAGATTTGCATGAAAACGAAGAGTTCTAGTCATTTCCAAAATATGCCTATGTTTCCGTTCTACTCTACCGTTCTGTTGAGGGGTGTAAACACAAGACGCTTGAAAAATAATCCCGTTAGTCACAAAATATTTCTGGAGACTCACAAATTCCTTGCCATTGTCGCTCCTAACAACTTTCACATTTTTGTCAAATTGTCGTTTAGTCATGGCAATAAACTGTTTAAGAATATTTTTGACCTCACTCTTTTCATGCATTAAATGTACCCAAACAGCTCTAGAAAAATCATCATATCGAGCACCACAAGTAGACAAAACACGATAAGGACCCCAAACATCACAATGAATTAATTCAAACGGTTCAACAGCTCTAGCATTACTAACATCAAAACTATCACGAGTTTGTTTGCCTCTCATACAGGCATCACAAATTTTATTTTGATCAGAATTCAACAACGGCTTATTTAAACTACCAAGTAAATGAAGTACTTTCATTGACGGGTGCCCCAACCTCGAGTGCCACAAATCTCCTGAATCTGAACTCCCCACTGCATGCGCTCGTGCTTGATCCAAACCCCGGAAAAAATAAACTCCCCCTCGTCGTTCACCCACTTCAATCGGCATCCTCGTAGATAGGTCCTATATTACACATATGTCATTAGTAAAAAATATATCACATTTTTGGTCATCAATTAATTTCCCCAAGGAAATCAGATTGCATTTAAGTCCAGGCACTAGTAAAACATGAATTAATTTCAGACGTGTACTGATAGCCACACTCCCTACATGTGTTGCCTCAGTATGTTCTCCGTTTGGCAATATTACTGCCACAGGTGCAATTTGCACCAATTCCTTCAATACATCATAATTTCCTGTCATATGATACGAGGCCCCTGAGTCAAGAAGCCACTCGTTATCAGGATTCATACCTGTGAGCTTTTCCCCGGAGGAGGTAGCCTTACAATTTTCCATTAGTTTGATAAAAGTCTGCCACTGTTCGTCGGTGAATGCGGGTTTATGAAGTACCACCTCCGCACTGACGCTCCCTGTTTCGCCGGCCATCTCCTTGTCGCAGCAACGTGATCAGTAGGTCCCTGATCGACGCTCTGATACCATGTAAAATACGAAGCAAATATGAGGGAATTTTCTATTATTGATCATATTGTTCAATCGAGAATGAAGCATCTGATTTATACAGGTAGTGCGCCTCATCCCTTTCCTAGTACGTAGTACTGCTATACGTTTACAAAGGAGAAAAGAATGGAAAACATTAATGACTAAATCTTTCCTATTCTAAGTCTACCACTACGTGCGTATATACATAATAAAGTGTTACAAAAATTATGTACATAAATTAACAATAACTAATAATAATATAGCTATAATAATATAGCTAACACAATTTAGAGAGTTTTGAAAAATAATTAACGAAATAGTAATTTAAGCTCAATTAAAAATAAATATTAATTTAATTATTTGAATTCGTCATCTCAAAGTTACTTTAATTATAATTCATTCAAAAATTCTCTTCTTTCAAATTTATTACTTCCAAACACAAAGAAAGACTTCTTCCTTCTCTCTTCTTTCATTCTCTCCTCACATATTTCCCCTCTCATTTCCTTCAAACTCTCAAATATACCCAAAGCGAGTTGTCATGGTTATGTTGGGAGGAAGGTTATAAACATTTTTTTTTAAACAAAAAAAATTGTTAAAGAAACATTGTTAAAGATCGTAAGAGTAGATATCGAATGGTAAGAAAGTACCATTCGAGAAAGTAAAGTTTGTTTTTTTAAAAAGGAGTCTAATTTGCATAGTAAGAGGGAAGTAGTCTCCTGAACATTAAATTTGTGTTTTTTCGAAGGGGAAAATTGCAACAAGGAATCAAGCTAGATTCTTGATTTTGTTTTTTCAATTTTATCAATTCAGGTTCTGAAAGATAAATAAATTATCAACTTGAGATTCAAAAGATGGAATGTATCGGTATATGACTCAAATGATGAAAATCTATTAATCTAGGACCTAACATTTCATAGGATTTGATTTGTTTAATTTTTTATTAATTTTATTGCTAATTTTTGATAAACTTTTCTTCACAAAAGTTTATTAGTTTAATAAAACAAAATAATATTTAAAAATTTTAAAATAAAAATAATAATAATAATAATAATAATAAAATTTATGACAACTTAGGTCCTAGATTGATACTCCCTCCGTCCCTGAAAATTCTTCTCACATTAGTTTGGATCGAAGTTTTTGAAAGTGTGACTAAAGTAAAAATGTTTGATTGTGGTTGAGTAAAAAAAGGTAAAAGAATGTTAGCCAGACGATGCTTTCAAAAAAGGGAAATGAGAAGAATTTTTTGAAACATCCCAAAAAGGTAATTAAGTGGGGAAAATTTTTAGGGACAGAGAGAGTAGTTTTCAATCATTCAGGTTCTAAATTGATAGTTTTGCATCATTCGAGTCCTATATCTATACATTTCATCTTTCAGGTTTTGGATTGAAACTTGTCTATCTTTTGGATCCTTGATTAATAAAATTCTTTTTGTTTTTTGAGGGAGAAATGCTAGTTGTACCTCATTTTGTGTACCCCATTCGCACACACTGTTTATGGCTCTACCCACTGTTTTGTCTGCATACAGACAACTTTGGAACTGCAATGACTCCCAATGAGGCACCCCTAAAAAGAGTGTACGAATGGGGTACAGAAAATGAGTCACCTCTAACATCTAACATTTCTCTTTTTGAGAAATTGACCTGTTTGCTCTCCATTTTGCGGGTGTGAAGTGTTTATAGCTATGAGTTCCACCGCAAAAGTAAAATAGTTCACAACATAGAAAAACAATGTAGCGAAGTAAATTTGAGATTCCCAATCCACATGCTAAATGTTCATTTTATTTGAGTTGACACACACACAACCTCTGTTTGAAAATAATTTTTTCATAATTAGCTTACTTTAATTAGTATCTCATTTTACAAATTAATTTTTAATCATGTTTGTTTTTTAGCGATTCAGTTGAGCTTTCAGTACAATTATTATTGATCTAAACATATAAATTCTAATTATTCATCATAGTAATAGAGAATTATCAAGGGAATTTAACTTCACCAAACATCCTAAACTAAAATGGTAACATCTTTTTTGTAAGGTGGAAATATAATTATAACACTTTATACTAAATATAAATAAATACTAACCGATGTTCAATTCAGGATGTTTACAACTTCTTGTTGGATTATAACTCTGAAGATGCATTGGAATCAACGTCTTCGTACACACAATCAAACAAGTTGGCAATGAAACGATACTCGAGCTACCTACAATCCTTGAGAATGAAGAATAAGCCTTTGGCAAATGGTGGCGACGGTCCTATTGACCTTTTCACCTTGATGAATGAAACCATCAGAGAGAAATTAAGAATTATTCCCAAGAACTTCACGTAAGTTTAATTTATTTATTGGTTAGGAGTTAGGACTTCAGCATATAACAAAATTTTCTTATAATTGTTCTCCCGTAAATATAAGAAAGAGGAATAGATTTACGTAGATTTTATGGTACCCTTAAGATACCATACATTTGTCCACATGGACCAATCAGAATGATGCAGTTGAATTATTTATATCTAAATTTAAAAGGATATAATGATTTGGACCAATCAAATGTATGGTAGATACGGTACCCCATTTTTTAAATGGGTACCGGAGTTGTCACCATAGATTTATTAGAGTTTTATTAGAGTTGTATCATCTCCAAATTAACAATTTTAAGACGAAGAAATTGAAGCATTACTCTTTTCTGAATAATTTTTATGAATAATAGTTACATACTATCCTCTGTATGACATTAGTTGCAACATTGCAAATTACACACTATTCATGTACTCTACTTTGACTACATTTTATTTGTTGATGTATAAGAATTATTATTTTTTGAAAAGTATTATTGAGTCGTCTCATTAAGAAGTTTCATAATCTGAATTTGTTAATTATTGTTTACTAATACAGAATTAAATATAACGACGGTCAAAGTTGTGCGTTGGCAAACGTGAAAAAGTGAATATTGCAACTAAAAAGAACGGAGGAGGAAGTATATAATATCCAAAGAAATATAGGATATATATATACTATAAAGTATTTAACTTTTTAACTTTGACTAAAGACAAGGTGGGTCTAATAATTGGTCCTATCATATACACTAGTGTTTGTATTATTATAAGGGTAAAAAGTTAAATAGATTTTTCTACTATTTTTATTCCATCTCTTAAGTCCTTATAGACATACTAAATAAAAGTATATTATCATATAACTACATTTATTTTACATAGTCGGTCGATCAGTATGACCTTTTAAAAACTATCATATAAGTGCGCTTTCTGTGATTGTCATGCACATCCCCATGCTTACTTTAATAATCATTGGGAAAATGGAAACTAATAATCCAATATTTTAGCGGTCTTCTTTCAATAATCTCACCTTTTAATTATTCATAAATAATCCAACCTTTGCACCTCATCTTCATTCATTGGTCCCTGGTCGGTTAATGACCTACTATTCCAAGTTATTTTCTTATCTATGCAAAATATTATCTTTGTGAAAGATGAGATTTATGGTATAATGATTTGCAAAGATAAGAAAATAGCTTGGAACAGCAGGTCATCAACCGGTCAGGGACTAGTGAATGAAGATGAGGTGCAAAGGTTGGATTATTCATGAATAACCAAAAGGTTGGATTATTGTAAGAAGACCGCTAAAAGGTTGGATTATTAGTTTCCATTTTCCCATAATCATTTGATTTTGTTTCTTTGATGTGTCCTCACATGCATGTAAAAAATGTCTTTGAAATGAAGGTGGGGAGAACAAGAAGATAGTGTTTTTGAAAATATGGTTGGTGACTTCATGAGACCAAGGATTGAGGAGGTAATTTTTATATATGCTTCATATTTAATAATTCCCTTAGAAGTTGTAACATTATATTTTGAAGTTACAAATAGGCATGTAGTACACAATTTACAAAGTACTTTCAGTTTTTAAAATTTGAGATTTGTATATATGTATTTCGGATGTACTCTGATCTCTGCTCCCTAGTCATTACTATGATATTTGTATACAAGATTGTCCATTGTTCTTAGAGAAATTATTATTTAAATAGAATTAAAAATAAAGTGATATTTCCAAACACCAAGGTATGTTTTTCCTTTCACTATAAAAAAAAACATGGGATTGGCATGGATTTTGGCAGGGGTTTTGGCAGGGATTATGCCAAAACCATGCCAAAAACACTTGGCACGAGCTATTTGGCACGAAAAATTGATAATCCGTGCCAAAATTCCGTGTCAATCCCGTGTTTTTTTGTAGTGTTTATATGTGAAAAATTACTGTGATTCTAATGTTCTTTTTAAAAGACTGACACTGTCATATTAATGTTTAATTATGCCAAAATGTGACAATATGATATTAGGACTACAACAATTTACTCCTATTTCGAAAAAACTACTACGTATAATACTTTTATTTTGGATTATATTATGTTTGCCCCTTATCTTATTCTGATGATCATTTTGCATAGGTTGATGAGCTATTGGCTAAAGGAGTAAATATGACTATTTACAATGGACAAGTAAGTCTTGTCACAATTTTACTCAACACAAGCTTCTATAATTGTTTAATCAGGAGACCACTCAGACCAGTGTCATCAAGTGTTCCATTATGATCGAGTCGATCCCACTTTATTATTATAATAAGTTAAATTTGATGGTTGAGATTCATATATAAGGCGATAATAATTTTATGATAACCTAGCAACTTTTTAACGTCTCTTATAACTAACGTATATATTACGTAGTACAAAAATTTCACATTATCAATCAGGATAATATGTTGAGCTATAATCGACAATGTGCAAGCTAAGTACAAATATTACTCCCTCCGTCCCCAAGTTTGTCATTTTTTACCTTTTCCGTCCGTCTCATTAAGCTTCTCCCATACTATATTTGATAATATTTGAATGGTTAGAATTCATTCTTACTTTATTCACACTTTATCAATTCAATATCAAACACAAAATTCTACTTTTTCTTAAAAACCACACCACATCCCTTAATTTGTCCCAAACTTAGGGGATGGAGGTAGTACAATTTATGTCCTATCATTAATATAAAAAATTGGGAGCACCGTAGCACTACTTGATCTAGTACTCTACGACATTATTGTCTTTTTAAACGTAAGTTAATATATACGGATTGATAATATAAATTATTAAAGGAAAGACTTATGTATGTAGTTGTTCTCACCGCTTCAATTTTTGCTCAACTTTCTGTGGCACAATTTTTGTTGTTTATGATTTGTTTCACTTCATCATTTCATCAAGAAGTGTCCTTTTGTGATGACAGACGTACATTATATTCTCAAGTATTTCTTTTTCCATTTTATTAATGATCAACTCAATTGATAATTACACATCTTACACATGTGTGTCATTATCAATACACCATACATCTCCAACCAATATTTTGAGTGGAAAGCTTATTTTAAGATCCCCTCGAGCTCCCACCACTTTATCTTTCGCTTCACTTGCCACTTAACCCGCCTTTTATGTTTCGTACTATGAAAATCAAGAACAAGCATTCTGTGCTGAGTGACAACACTCTCCTGGGATGACCTACCACTCCGGGTAACTAGTTTTCCAATTAGTTAGTACTAAGAATGAAGTAGTCAATATGATTTGAGTACTATTAGCTCCACGTATCCAATGGGTCATAAGGTGAGAGGACATATAAGTGTCTTAAAATAGGAATACATGTTTCAAATAATCAAATCCCATAAATATGAGTAAAAAGTTGTAACTTGCAAGTAGATAAAAAATATTCCTTAGGACTTGGGGTTTACTAATCCCCTTGAAATTTAGGGTTAGACTTTGTATAGAGTTTACTAGTGGCTACCCGGAGCTGGTGGCTGCTGTCTAGCGATAGAAGTTCTTCATGGGCAGGGGCGGAGCCAAGGGGGGGTCAGGGTGGTCAGCCGACCCCACTGAAAGTTCGAGAATGTAGAGCTCTGAAATACCTTCGATTTGATATATTATGAGTCTCATAACTCATTACGAGTAAAAAATTTTGACTTCTGAAATAATCAGCATCATCTAAGCTTGAAATGAGCAAACATTTGATGTGTTGTATCTTTTTTTTTTTAAATTTAAAAATAAAACATCTTATTCACTCATTATTTCTGTGAACCATATATTACATTGCATATGTATCAATACAACAACCGAATATGTCTCATTAAACTAACGTTTATCTAAACTATATATGAAACATTTAATTTAAGTATTGTTTGATAATGATCCGCCTTTTTGATATTGTATATAATCAAATTTCGACCCCCTCACGCATTTTTCTGGCTCCGCCCCTGTTCATGGGTGTTTGTATCTACTTAAGGAATTTCCCCGAATTAGTTTCTCACACCCTAAAAGAAATTAAAAAATTACCATGTACGCACGATCCAATAGTCTTGGCAACCTTTACTCGTGATAGAGAAATTTTATTACTTCTGTTACTTTATTTGGAGGGATATATTGGCAATAAATTTTATGGTTTATCAATTATCGTGTCAAAGTACACCCAAAAAAATTATCGTGTGCAAGTGTATAGTAGCATTCATAGTTATCAATTTGTCAAAATTAAAATCACATCCTTGAAATACCTAATTATTATGTTGTGGTGTTGTACGTAGCTTGATGTCATATGTTCTACCAAGGGAACTGAATCTTGGATTCGGAAGCTCAAGTAAGAAATGCATCTATCCCTCTTTTTGGCTCAGCATTACTCTAGTATTGGAAAAATAGAAACACTGAACTTGTTATTTAAATGGTAAAAATCTGGAAATATGAGTAAAAAAACGTTCTGGAATTTTGAAATAGGAGTAGTCGTTTTTTCCTAGAATAATACAAAATAAAAAAATATTACCCAAGATAGGGTCCAGTAAAAAAAATTTGCGAAAATACTGTTGGAATTTACTCTAATTAGGAAACTGTCAATCCGATTGGCGGCTTACCTCAAGACGGAAGAATTACGTACATAGCTATGCAGGTCAGCAAGAGACTACATTTTGACATTTTGGGTCCTACAAATAAAAAAACATATTATTTTAAAGGGTTATAACTTTTTCACGTGTACTCCGATTTTTTCAAAAAATATATCAAAATTTATATTCCGTGTCTTTTTATTATCTTTCATATGACACCAATGTTGAATATAAAAAAAATAAAAAAATCATATAGTGCTTAAAATAACTTATGTTTTCTAAAATGCTATAATGTATATATTTTTACTCTAATTGTTAGAAAATATATATCAAAATTCACAATTTTCTATTATCTTTCATTTGACACCAATATTGCATATATAAAAATAAAAAAATTATTTACGCTTTAAAATAATTTGTTTTTTTAAACAGCTACAACTTTTTTATTTGTACTTCAATTATTTCAAGAACTATTTTTAAATTTGTAACCTTTTATTATCTTTCAAATGACACTGATATTGCATTTAAAAAATAATGAAAATCATTAGCACTTAAACAAGTTTATGTTTTTTAAAGTGCTACTCTGTATAATTTTTTTTACTTGTATTCCGATGGTTACAAAATATATATCAAAATGCATAACTTTTGATATGTTTTTTTAAGAATCTGAGTATAAATAAATAAATAAAAAGTTATAGCTGTTTAAAAAATAGAAGTTTTTTAAAGTGTAAAATTATTTTTTAATTGTTATATATGAAATACTGGTTTCATGTGAAAGATAATAGAAAACTATGAATTTTGATATATATTTTGCAACTATCAGAGTACAAAAACAAAAGTTATAGCAGTTTAATAAACAAAAGGTTTTTTGAGTGCTAAATTATTCTTTTACTTTTATATATGTAATATTGGTGTCATATGAAAGACAATAAAAAATTACGGAGTTTAAATTTTGATATATTTTTTAAAAAATTAAAATTGAAGTACAAATAAAAAAGTTATACCAATTTTAATATAACATGAGATTTTTATTTGTGGGACCCAAAACACTATTCCATTATCGTGCTACGTCGCTACCGAATGCTAAGCAGAATTTTTGGGCTTGGGGTAAGCCGCCAATTGGACAGGCGGTTTTCTTGACTATAGTTAGCTTTAGCATCATTTTGGGAAATACTTTTAACTAGACCCTTTTTTGGTAAATATTTATTTACTTAACATTATTCTATGAAAAAACTCATTTTTATTATCTAAATAAGAATAACTACCATTAAATTTAAAATATTGCAATGTTTGAAATCTGCTAAAGCCAAATTAAGTATGACATTAATTAATCCTATTTAATTTAAGGAATAAACACATAAAAATTCTATTTTAAAATTCGCAAACGTTTTTATTAATGAATCATATGATCTTCAAAATTTATTTAAATTTATTAATGAATTATATGATCTTCAAAATGCCACTTCCACTGGTAGTATATTATTAATGTATATGTGTATGTGTAATGTGTCTGTGAGATTAATGTGAACAAAAGTTTTTCCATTTTACAGATGGAAAGGACTAAAAACATTCTTAACGAAAGAGAGAACTCCAATTTATTGTGGTCGAAGCGGAGGTACAAAAGCGTTCACGAAGTCGTATCAAAACCTAAACTTCTATTGGATTATTGGAGCTGGTCACTTTGTAAGTGATTACTATCTTTGATGTTGCCATTATTATGGTTCAATTTCCTCATATTTTAGAAATTCAATATCACTATCATAAATTCACTTTTCTAAATATATGTGCCAATAAATTTCTTTTAACGTGAATAATTGGACAACAAGTTAAATTTAAGCCCCTGGCCCCTACACATGAGTTAAATTTGACCGATTTTAGAATATGCAAATATAATACGGAGTATTATTTAAAAATTGTGAAAAACTAATTTGCTATATTAGTAAATATGAGTGGTTGCCAGTACTTTTCAAGTAAAAAACGTCTAACTTTGACCGATTATATGTTTATTTAGAGAAAGTATTGATAATATGAAAACGTTATACAAATAATGTTTGTTGTTAAAAATACTTTCATAAAAGTATAAATTATTAAATTTTGCATAAATATATTAGTTAAAATAATTGGTTAAAATTTACCATCTTTGACTGGAAAAGTCAAAGATGACTAAGTAAATTGGGACGGAGGTAGTAATTCATATGGAGTGCATGACTAAAGTAAAAAACAATGTACAAAAATGTGACTTCAATACATAGTAGGTGATTATATTATTAGTGTCTATTAATGATTACAGTTATGTTCAATTTACACTATATTGGACATAAGTTTTTGTTCATAAGTTTAATTTAAATAATAATAATATTTTAGATAACAATCGTATATGAAAGTATGCAACCTCATATATTAATGGCCTGTCACATTAGCTCCTGAGATTTCTATTGAGAAAATCATGACATGAAGAACACACAAACAACGTATTAGGAAACCAATTCAACGATAGAGATTATATTTATATTCTTTTTCATCACTTTGCTTTGATATATAATTGTGCCCTAACAATTTGGAAACCAAGTGAACAATTAGGTTCACTTGATTCTAGTTATGTAGTATTGCCAAAAAAAATCTAATTATGCAGTTAAAAATATTTAAATCGTTTCCCTAGAACATTTGATTTCCTAGTAATTTCTAGTTTTCTATATAACAGCCAATGAATATATCGAAGTTATTTTTTTCTTTTTTCTTTTTTTCTTTTTTCATAACTGGAAAATTGTTTAATACTTTTGCAGGTTCCCGTCGATCAGCCATGTGTATCATTAGATATGGTTCATAGGATCACACAGTCACCAGCTTTACTTTAAAAAGTCAACCATCTCACACTTATTCAGCAGGAGGATGGGCTTTTATATTTCATGATTAACCATATACTATATGTTTCCCTATATAATCACCCAACTTTATATTAGACGAATTTTAAGGAAATTTACTATATTCACCCTTTATTCGCCTTTTTGTTATGGGAGTAAAAATATTATGGTTCATACTTACTATTCATGACTTAAACAGGGCCAAGGCAGCTGGCCCTCCTTTAGCTACGCCACTGCTCCAAAGTCGACGTTATAAAGGTACTATATCCAAGGCAACCACAGATGCATTAAATGCCACATATAGCAGAAAGTTTACAAATCATCATCATCAACATTACCGCAGTGTCACAAAGGCTCCCACCTATTGTGGGGTAAGGGGGGCGGATGTAGGCAGTCTTGCCCCTGTACTAAAGCACAGAGAGACTGTTTTCCGAATGACCCTGTACTAAAGTTTACAAATATAAATTATAATAAGGCCAAAGTTAAGCACCTACCTAACAAAGAAATAAGAAGTATAACTGATATTGATCATTGCAGAAAAGATCAGGTCCCTCCGGGTGGACGGGAGGGACCGTCCGAACTTTACTGTTTGGGGTGGTTCCCGGTGGAATATTTTGATGACATTTTTTGAGTATGTTCCTCATCAAGTCTAGTTTCTCCATACCAAATTGCAGCTCAAAATTCTACCGGGAAGGCAGTCAAATAAATTCTTGAAGCTTACTGCACATTCTGCGCATATATAAAGTGCAGTAAGTTTCAAGAATTTATTTGACTGCCTTCCCGGTCGAATTTTGCGCTGAAATTTGGTATGGACAAACTAGACTTGATGAGGAACATGCTCAAAATATTTATTTCATCAAAAAATTCCACCGGGAACCGCCCCAAACAGTAAAGTTCGGACGGTCCCTCTCGTCCCTCCGGAGGGACCTGAGCAGTCCTCCTCTCGATCATTGACATTTAAAAAATGATAAACATTTATCTAAGCTTGAGAAGAAATCTTAGATCACTTTTTTTTGAAAAAGTACAGTGGATTTTATTGATAACAAAAAAACAGTACAATGCGAGAGTGGAAACAAAGGAAAGACATAATACAAAGGAAAGACATAATACAGAAAAGAAGAAATAAAAGAACAAAACTAGTCCTAAGGGAAATCTCTGAACTGAGACCTAGTCCTCATGTTAATATCGTCTCGTATTCTTTTGAGGAAATGTTAGATCACTTTCTGCAGCTATATGATCTACAAACCATTTATTCAAATAATCAAACAACAAGGTCAGTTCATGTCCCTCACACCAACACTTAAGCCCCATCTGCAGAACACAAGAACATGTGCACCAAAATATGAATCCATATACAATTTGGTACATGTTGATGCAAATCAGCAAATGGGTTCTTGAAAAAATCATCCCATAGTTAATACATTCATCGGAAGGAAGTTGACCCTCATAGGATATATATACCACTGTAAAAGATGTGTCATACATTATCAAAGAACTATTGTAGGTCTCAAAGAAGCATCTTACATTATTATAGAACCATAGTAGGTTTCAACGAAGCATCATGCATTCTCATAGAACAACACTAAGCAACAAAGATGCATCACACATTACCAAAGAACCATACTAGGCTTAAATGGTGCATCATAAAGTATCACAAAATCATAGTAGGTCTAAGAGAAATATTAGTAATTGCCACTGAATCACATTAGGCCTCACAGATGCATCATAAAGTATCATAGAATTGTGACAGGCGGCGAAGAAGGATCATACATCACAAACTCTTATTTTTCCTCAAAGATGCTTCATACATTTATCACATGAACCACAATATGCCTCAAAGATGCATCATATATTTTCATAAGACTATTATAGGTCTCATAAAATATCACATAACCATAAGAGGACTCAAAGAAGAAATGGGCATTATATTAGAACCATATATACTAACTAGGCCTCAAAGATGCATGATAAAGTATCACTTAAAAATAGTATGTAGTCCTCAAAGAAGCATCATATATACATTATCACAAGATCATACTAGATCTCAAAGATGCATACTATATTATCACAAAACCACAATAGGCCCATAGTAGATTCAAGCGAGGTCGAACTCACCCTAGGGATTACGTGGTAAGCTATCTATTACGCATAGCTATCCGGTAGCGACAAGGACTCAACGGAAGAGACGTGGACATAAAGGAGTAATAAATGCAGAGTCATGGGATACGTTAGAAGAGTTCCATCATGATTAGACCTATCGATCGAATGTACTGATTCTATCTCCTTAGGCTATTGTAGGCTTGTAGCACTATGTCTATAAATACTTCATGTACTTACCATAAAAGGGATCCTCTTTTCCGTATAATAAAATTGTCTTGCGCCGCCTAAATACTCTATTATCGTAGTTTAGCTCTTGAAGTTGAAATTAAACTCCATCAAGTATAGGCCGCAAAGGCGCATCATAATACTCTAAAAGGGAACCACCATACATTATCACATAATCATATATATTAGGCCTCAAGGATGCTTCATACATTATCACATATCTGTGTAAGACTTCAAAGGTGCATCGTGTGTCCCAATGATGCATCATAAAGCATCACAAAACAATAGTAGGCCTCCAAGAACCCTCATACATTATATCACAACCACAGATACAACAACAAAAAATACATTAAAAGCATGATATGCCTTAATGATGCGTCATAAAGTATCACATAACTATAGTGATCCTAAAAGAAGCATCATACATTATCACAAAATCATACTCGGTCTCAAAGATGCATCATACATTATCACATAATCATAGTAAGCCTCAAATGAGCATCATACAATATCACAAAATCATATTAGGCCTAAATTCGTATTAATATGAATGTATCTTTAGGTGTGTTGTACGTTCACCAAGTGTATTGGTGCATCATAGATAGGATTTAAACCAAAAAAGTAATCGTCAAATTAAGTTTAATTAATGTTGAGACCTGATATTGGGTCATAAAAGGTTAACCTATAAAGTAGTTCAAAATGTTACTAGTAAGTAATAATAATTTAATAGTTCAATTTTACCTTGTAAACATATCTAGCTATTATATAATCATGCATGCAATTGATCAAAATGTAAAATTGTTCCCATAAAACCATGTCTCTCACAAAATAAGTATCGTTCAAATTTTAGTTTCTTTGACAATTGAACATTATAATCTCAATTACTATAATTGGTTAGAAAGGTTTTTTACTTGAATATTAATATGTTCAAGCCTAATTCTCAAAGAGCGTCTACTCTTGCATTCATAAAATTAGATAATTATGAATGTCATTGCCAGCTTGTTATGTCACCAGCAATTATTTATGTCACTAACAATTAATTTGTTATGTCAGGGTGTTACTGTCGGTTGATTGCCGCCTTTGTCATCAATTTCACGATCGCCATCACATGTGTCATACGAGCTTATAGACATAGCATAGAGGGGTGAAGCGGCCTCCAATAAAGGGACTACTTTTACCTTGTAATCCATTAGAAATATCACAAACTCAAAGGTTTACCCCAATAATAATAATAATAAAGAATGCCCCTGTAAGTGATCCAGCACCAAAACTTTTTTTTGAAGCAAAAGTGACTTATATAATTAAGTTTATATTAAATCAACTAAACTTAAGCAAGTTACAAAATGACAAAAAGTTCTTTGTCTACCGTCTGCCATCGAACCAGACTTAGAATCTATCACCTCCGTAGAAGCAAGAAGATTCGTTGATCCTATAATGGGCTTACCTGAGTCAATGGCGGACAAACTAGACTTCTCATCACCTGACTTAAATTCTAGAGTTTTTCTGTTAGGAACCAAAAACACGACCAAAGCAACATTCTGTTCGGAATAAAAACAACACGTAATAACAGAAAATCTTAAGAACCATAACTAATAGGAAAAAAATCTCAAAACCTAACACCTCGTTCAACCCATGGCAGTGATTCAGGAGGAGGTCGGATCATCAGTACCGCTGTGATTGATCTTCCATCACCGGTCATACTCTGGTCCGCCATAGTCATCTCTATGTGCTTTTGCACGTCTCCGTCAACAGTCCCTAGTTGTAGTCCTCCATACCAATCGGCCAAGGTCTGTGAAGCGTGCGTACTTCCAGATTTCGAATCTCCGGCAAGCAAAACACATCCCAATCAATCGAGGACAAAAAACATGACCTAGAAACCAGATCGAACTCGAATATTCCAAACCAATCAACCTAAGTATAATCGGCTACGAAGGGTCGCCCAAACTCGAGAGCTATAGCTTTGTTCCCTTAAACCCCGACTTCGAACTCCATGACCACCAACAGTAGTGACGCCAGACAATGGCTCCCTTGCTTAAAGAGAAGTGAAATCCAAGCAGAAAGATCGGGACGGCTGCACGCCTAAGCGGCAGAAAGATAAAACGTCTGCACGCCTAAGCTACAAAAATACCTAGCCCTAGACCAGATAGGGAGAAGACCGCCTCACTAAGTTAAAAAACACCATTTTCTCATGTATCCTCCCATACTTTGATGCTCACCATACTTTGATGCTCAATCCATTTCAAGAACATACCAAATTCTTGAACTAAACTGTAAGGAATAAATGTAATTAGATTTTGATGATGCTAGGATAATTAGATTAGAATTTTAAAGTACCCCAATTAGATTTTGTGTATTAGAATTTTCAATTGTAAGTATTAGTGTAATCGACGATCAGAGTTGCTCTTTTATGGATGTGATCAGAGCTGCTATGAGAACTGCTTTCAGAGTCGCCCTTGGAAATCATGAGAGTTGCTCATCAGAGAACCATCAGTGTTGCTCTTCAGAAACTCGTCAGAAGTCTACATCAGAAAGACATCAGAGTTCGATGAATAGCTTCATCAGAACTCAACATCAGACAAGCATCAGAGTTCCCACACAAGAGCTCGACTTGAAGCTACATCAGAACTACTCTTCAGAAAGCCATCAGAATCCAACGTATCAGAAGACTCCGATCAGAGTCCGACTAACACTTAGAAGAATTTCAAAGCTACTTCCAATGGCTGGGAAATTCATCAACGGCTAGAAGATTGTGCATGAAAGGAAAGCTCTTAAATGCACATTAAATGACCCTGATACGCTTTGGATTTATTGCAAATGATTGACCGAGAAATCTGGAAGATATATTATAAATATAGAA